CCCCCCCGGCCATCCAATCCCCTAACTCCCCCTTTTCCCACCCATCTGCTTCCAATCCTTTTTCCTTAAGAGATTCTTCTTATTTTCTTTTTGTTTCTTTCTCCTCTATCTTTGTTCGTTCTTTCTTTTTCCTTCCTCCCTGCCTTTGTTCGAGAGCACAGAATAGAAATAGAAGCCAGCATCAGAACCCCCGATCTGTTTAGAAGCTAGTCCTTCCATCTCTGCCCTGTGAATGTTATCTCATATCTCTAGAGGAGCCCAGGTGCTGTAAACCTCGCTGGCATTCACGTACGACCGTACAAGTCTTGTACACACGTACGGATAATGGCTATTCCTTTCTTGAACGCAAAACGTAAGTATAGCAAACTGTGGAGAAAGGAAAATGGGGAGGGCAAAGCGACATAAGGGGTGTTCTTCGGATCTTATCAAGGCAAAGTTCGTCACTTTTGAGTTAGGTTTTATAGAATCTTTTCTTTTATCTGATAGATAGATAGATAGATAGATAGATAGATAGATAGATAGATAGATAGATAGATATATAGATAGATAGATAGATAGATTGTGTATGTGTGTGTTTGTGTGTTTGTGTGTGCGTGTAAGAGAGATAGTGAGGGAGAGAGAAAGAGAGAGACAGAGAGAGAGACAGAGAGAGACAGGCAGAGGCAGAAAGGCAGACACAGAGTTTTAGTGAAAGGGCGACAGACAGACAGACAGACAGACAGACAGACAGACAGACAGACAGACAGACAGACAGACAGACAGACAGACAGACAGACAGACTTTGGAGAGGAGAAAGCGATTTAACGACAAAACCCTGTAGGCCTGAACAAATGTTATGAAGAAGCATGAATACAAAAAACACAGAAAGTCGTAAAAGTTCAACTGAAGATTCGAACTGTGGCTTCCCACAACAGAGCCCAACAACTTAGAAAAACAAGGGGGACCTGTCTATGCCATTAATTCGTTCGCTTGGGAAAAAAAGGGAAAAAAGAGATAGAAAAAAAGAATTATTCTTCCCATGGTGTCAAGATCCGAAAAGCACAAACACTATCCCCCCCCCCCCCCCCCCCCCCTCCCCAGCTCTACACACAGCCCAGTGTAGAAGTCAGTGTTCCTAGGAATGTAATCCGACAAGAAGGAAGAAGAACATACTAGGCCGTTTTTATGGCGTCTATAGTGTTGTTTTACGTCGTTTACGCTGAAGTACACCCTTGCACCCACTGGGTTTACGTCTGATGCCGGGTTGGGTTGTTTTTTTTCGTAAGATTGGGTCGATTTATTTTGGTCTGTTTATATTTTGCGACTTTAGACTAGCTCGACTGTAGGCTTTGAAGAAAAAAAAGGTATGTGTTAAAAAAGCTGTGTGTGTGTGGGG